CCGTAATAAACACTTTAATAATAAACAATGGGCTGGATGTACACAGTTTTGGGGAAATGTACAGTAGATAAGCACATTTTAAAATTACTGTGTACACATGGAGAAAAGCAATAGAATTTCATGAAATTTTGGCTAGGAAACAATGCTCCCTCTCAGCTCTGGAGTCTTGTGAGCAAAAATTCTACTTTGTGAGCTACTGGCGTTAAAGTTGTGAGTGATTTGTCTACTGCATAAATTAGTTTGCTCTGCAGCCATCCTTCCTGAGCTAAGACAAAAATGTGTGACCTGGAAGCTAGAAACCTGTGAGCTGGCTCACACTAACTCAGCTTAGAGGGAACACTGCTAGGAAACCCAAATTCCTTGTATGGAAAATACTGAGAGATGATCTGCATGAAACTCACTAGGTTACACATAATACATGGCTGCAAACACACATTATTTATATTTGTATCTCATACCTTCTCCATGAAGTTCAGTACAATGTCTATGAGGTATATGGCCCTTTTTACCCTTGTAATAGCCTCCATCTCTAGTTCCAGCTCCTGCCAACCTAGCAGTTCGAAAGCAAGAAATTGCAAGTAGATAAATAGGTACCACTTCGGTGGGAAGGTAACAGCGTTCCATGCGCCTTGGTGTTTAGTCATGCCGGCCACATGACCACGGAAACGTCTTCGGACAGCGCTGGCTCTTCGGCTTTGAAACGGAGCACTGCAACCCTAGAGTCGGATCGACTGGCTTTTGACCAAGGGAACCTTTACCTTTTAAGGGTACTTTATATTGAGTGTGGCTTGCTCAATCCCACCTAGTAAACGTTAAGGTTGAACAGAGATTTGAGTTCAGGTCTCCGTGGGTCTAGAACAGTGCTCTATCTTGTGGCTTTCTCGCACTTTCACAAAATGGAATTGGACCCCATCCAGAGCCAATTCCAGCAGTTTGCTAAATAACCCACTACGTTCTAATGACTACTTAATGGATAATTTAAAGCACCCAAATGCTGACCTTAAGCCCATTTATTTCAGTGGAAAATCCCTATTAGGATAAAATAAAAGTCCTGAAATACACATTCTGGCCTTGGCATATTTGGCTAAATTCCTTAATATATTTTTTCTGTAACTACTTCAAAGGCATATTTCCATGGTAACCACAAAACAAATGCAGCTGTGAAATGAATGTAATGCTGGGCAGCCTATATATTTTCATATTTGGAATGTTTACTGTTTCTTCACAGGCTGACAATATAGTACAATAAAGTCTCCAAGCTTGGAAAAAAGAATTCACCACATTGCAACCCTGTGTTTTAAAATTTAGTATCTTAGAAATGAAAAAGCAACTAGATTTTGTTAATGTCACATATAACCAACCTAAAAGCAGCCTATATACCACAGAACCAAGGAGGAAATAGAGCTGCCTCCTCCTCCTTCTCTTCCGCTCTCAAAATTCCCCTTTGCATCCCCTTTCAGTACTACCTATGGTTAGTATGGTATTTACATCAAGTGGAAATGTGGGCCATAGTTAGCTTCAAATAAGCATTTTGAGACACAGTTGGAAGAAAGTTTTAAAAGAACTGAAGCTAAATGCCTGGTGTTTTAGCTGCTGGGCTTATGAAAGTTTTGGGTTCAATGAGAGATTTAAATTTTTTTCAGCTACCTAGGTCTGCTGCTCATTTGCACTCTGGGGGGGGGGGTGGCTCTCTATATAGCTGTGGCAATTGCATTGCTCAAAATCTTCTCTCAGACTTTCTGTCCTATGGGAATACTTCCTTCCTTTCAAACTTGGACATGGAATATTTGGATGTGGATAAACACTGAATAATTCAAATAAGGATTTTACCATTGCAGTTGCTTTGTTGTGAATTTTGGTATATAAGGGCCAATTCATATGTGTTTTTTTAAGGGTGGATTTTCCATATGATTAATTTTTTTGGCACGGGAACTGCTCTTATGAGTGGCCAAACAAATCCATGACATGTGTCAAAATCTTGATTCATCACTTCCTGGCACATCATATTTGAAAGGTTTTTTTCCAAGAGACAGTCCAGTGTACATAGTGTGTGTCAAAATATCAACAAAATTAGCCATTACATACTGAAACTCAACAAATTATGCTATCATTGAATAAAAATGGTTTTACAGAAACCAGCCCTGAGTTTGGAGTTTGCATTAAACACTCATGATAGACTGGGATTCCGCCCCCCCCCCCCAGCAGCCTTATGTACCGGTATCATGACTCCCTACATTCACTGTAAAGCTACCTTTAATTCTGACGTATATATTATCACCATAGTAGAAGTGCAGCGAAATAAATCAGAGCAACTTTTTTCATGGATCTCTGATAGCAAATGTATGAGTACACAGAGGTTAACAGCCGCTCCTCTGGTGAAACCTTGTTCATTCGTACCATTGTTTATTGTTTGTTTTTAATGTAAAATGATGCTTCTTAGTGATGTTACCAAATCTGCAATTCCTAGGTTCCATGTATGAATTTTTGTGACTGTTTATACTTGCATCCAATCTGACATGGGCTTTAAGATCTGAGGGCTCTTCTCTCACTGGGTCTATAATCTGAGCCAAAGAAGAATTCCTCCCCCCTTTCCTCTTCCTCCTTATTTCTATCTTTTCCCCACTCACGTACTTACCTGGCTGCTGCTGAAGAGGGAGTTACAAGCAGAGAGGTATGTGGACCTTCTTTCATTCTCCCTCTAGAAATCTGTATGTTTAGAAAACCTGGGAAATGGAGTTTCTGTGAAGATGGCTGATGTCTAGGAATGTCATGTGCTTTGAACATTACATTCCTATGGCTTCTAGTTCCTGCACACAAACTCTCTTCCACTCTGTTGCTGTCACTAAAACAGTGGTTACTGTAGTGGCAGGAAGTGAGAGAGTTTGGGGAAATTCACAAATTTGGAGGTTGGTTTGGGGACTCAGCAGATTGGGGAACAGATTTGGAAACAACTTTACACTTACTATGTCATTGGGAGTGTAACAGTGTTTCCAATTTCAGAACTGGGCTTGGGAAAACAACAGCCAGGTATTTTCCAATTATGGGGCAAAAAATTTAGTTCAGCTGAACATAATTCTGAATTTAGCTGTGGAGAGTCTGGCCATCCCTTATTGCTTTTCCTTCAAAAAAGTTTTTGGGTCGCTCATATATTTTGAATGCAGCTTTTTCAAATTGGCCTTTCTCTCTTACTCAGATTTTTTCCTGATAACTTCTAGGGGAAATTAGTGTTTTAATCAAAAATTGCCTTTTTAATGTACAACTTCTTCTGAAATGATAAACAATTTTGAAGACTAACACAAATCAGTATTCCTAGATTTTCCTAACAAGAGAATGCTCTACTGTTAGACAGGTGGTAAAAGTGCAAACCTCAGTTACCATGTTAAGGTTTGACCCTGCAAAAGTTTCAATTTTGTTTTTGTGTGTGGATAGCTGAAATTCTAATGTACATATGGGGTAGCATTTGGACTTGACAGTTTCATGCAAGGGAATATAACTGAACCTGCCAAAATGCAATCAATATAATTTCAATAAGCATTACAAGTCGAAGAAATGTAAATAGATTACTACATGCAAATTTTTTTCAAGGCATCATTTAAATTTTCTAATATATTTGGAAAAGCTGTATCTGTTATCAAAGCCTCTGATATGCAGCTGCAATAAATTAGGCAGAGATATAAGGCTCAAGCGGTGGGATTGTGTTTTCCTTCAGTAAGCATTTATTTAGCTCTGTGTAACGCAGAGAACTGATTATGCCTACAAACAGTCTGTGCTCTAGCCCATGCCTGCTTGTTTTGGGCAATCCCAGATAAGGTGCTGTTTATATAACTGCAGATTAAATGCTGTACAATTTAACATGCAGTTTATGATGGAGGGAGGAAGGAACGATGATCTGTGCAAGTAGCTAAGCCACTTGAAAGGATCTTCTTACATGGATCTATGTCAAAAGCTGCCCCCTTTGTCTCAGTGAGCAGTTAATAGACTGGTGGGTTTTGAAAGAACTGTTTGATGGATAATTCAATGCTGCCTAAGGTTTTCTTTGGGAATTTTTTCTATGTTGGAACTAACACTTCACCATCTGGTGAATTCGGATTGGTGAATGATGAATGTGGTAGAAATCACATCATCCATAATGTACAGTTTGCAGTTAATTTAGGTCCTGGTACAAAACTGAATACTGTAATCTGTAATAAACTTTCCAGGAAATCTACACCCGTGTTATCAGTGATTTTTGAACCTATCCTTCTAAGATTGAACACAGTGGCTTTCTATAGCTCTCTTCCACAAAATCTCTAAACTAGTGATCTTGGAAATCTAATCTCAAATTCCCTACATGCAGGAATATAGACTGAGATATGAACACTTAACAGAAGGAAATCTCTGCATCCTTCATGGAAACCATGGATATAAAAATTACTTTGCATGTAGGTGGATCAATGCTCCAAATAATCAACCACAGTTACTCATTCTGATGCCTGGACAGATGTCTGTCAGGGTCTCTCTACCATCAGGTACCCATTAAATGACAATGTACTGAATCTGTTTTCTAGCTCTTCATGAATAGGCACATTTACAAAGCAAACAGATAGCTCCTTATACCAGAAAGCTTACACTACAACCTATCTCAAAATAATCCCATAATTTTACATAACACAAACAGTTAACAGTTCATCTGGAATCTACCGCTACCTTGCAAGGGACATTTACTCTGTTTCTTTTGTTACATAATGTTTTAGATAGATATAATGTCTCTGATAAATAGTGGAAAGTGAAAGGAAGTATTATCAACAGCAAGAATGTAGGATCTCTGTTTTGATTGGGCACTTCCAATTGAAAAACAAAATGAGACATGGGCTTCCGTAGTCTCTTGGCTCTTTTGATCCTAGCTCAGTTAAAGAGTTACATGTACACATCATATAAATTAAGTTTTATAATGAAGAATTAGAAGATCAAATGACTTTTTGTTCATTTGTTTTAAATTTTATTTGGTTTCATTAACTTACCTTCTATAGCCGACAGGAGAACTCGAGAATGGTCATAAGCTATAACATTCGCATATCTATTCTTTGGTTTATTTACTTCCAGGTTAGAGTGCTCCCATGTGAATTGCTGGCCTGGGTCAATTGACTTAGAAAAAAAGAAAGGAAGGAAGGAAGGAAAAAAATTAGAAAGGAATAGCTGTTATTGGCTGCATTTTTTATTCTAGAGATATTTATGTTTTATAAAAGGTGTAAATCTGATAATTATTTATATACCATAATACTGCTTAAAACAGTCAGCCATGGGACTCATTCCACTGCAGTTAGTCATACTGACACTTATTGGCTATCACCTTTAGTCACCTGCCTTGCTCAGAGTTCAATTTGTTCTTATACAAAATGAGACAAAAATCAATGTACAAGATGCTTTATTTCTTCATGAAAGATAGGTGTATATGTTTGTGGAAGGAAGGGAAGCACAGAACAAAATTGACGGAGAATAATGGAAGGTCCATGGGTGACTATAATACACTGGTTTCTAGCCCAAGTTTTATAGATGGTTAGGAAAGTCAAAAGAAGTATTGAAGCAGCAATTTCACACACACACACACACACACACACACACAGATTTCTGCAGCGCCATATTAAAGGGAGTATAAGATTAGTACTGATATCTAAACAAAAGATGGGTCCATGTTAAGAAATGTTGCCATAGGCAGAAGCAATTCCCATACCACTGACCAAAAAGTGATGAGCACTCATTCAAACCATAGACTTTTGCCCCAAAAACAGAGCGTCACCCCCCAATGTCACCGACATGCCTACATCACTTCTAGGTGACGTTGGCACATCGCCCAACATTGCTTGGGGTGGTGGTGGAATTTCATACACACAGGAGCCCACAAAAGCAGGGGATCCCCCCCTTGAACTGGGGAATGGCAACCCTACTGTCAAGAGAGAGATGATCAAATCTCCTTTCAGGCTTTACTTGAGAGCCAGATTTATTTATTTATTTTATTTTATTTACTATATATATTGAAGTAATCCACACATAACATTTACCTTCTTAAATATTTTCTGTTAAATAAATCTTTGCTGTTCATCTCTGTCTGTGTCTTGTTTGCCAAGGCCCAGAAGGTCAGACCAAAACCAATGGATTGAAATTAAATTGAAACAGTGTTCAGCTAAACATTAGGAAGAACTTCCTGACAGAGCAGTTCGTCAGTGGAACAGGTTTGCTTGGGAGGTGGTGGGCTCTCCCTTTTTGGAGGTTTTTAAGCAGAGGCTAGATGGACATCTGACAGCAATGCTGACTGTGAATTTAGGCAGATCATGAGAAGGAGGGTGGGAAGGGATGAGCCAGTATCAGCTCTCATGGCCCTTTCTTACATACCCAGGGTAATGCTGATTGCCACTTTGGGGTCAGGAAGGACATTTTCTCAGGGCCAGACTGGCCGGAGATCCTGTAGGTTTTTTGCCTTCCTCTGGGTGTAGAACAGGGGTCACTGGGAGAATGGGGTGGTGTGCATAGTTTATACGCCACCAATCCTTTATTCAAAGCTTGTGTTCCCCTTTTTATTTGATTGTGGGCATTTGGGGTTTAAAGGACCTATAGGAGAGGCTAGAGTGGGAGAGTGGGCATTCTTCAGTCCAGAAGGCAGTAGCCTTAGAGCCTCCAACCCTCTCACCTCATATCCACTATAACATACTTCCTACACTTGCTATCTGCTTTAAAGGATGTGTGTGCATGCTTAACTTTTACCTATTGCTCTTGTGCTGAAATTCTCCCTTGCCCAGCTACTTTGGGGTTCTAGTCCTGTTATTTCCTAAGAATAATTTTCCAGTGAAAAAGCAGTCTAAGATTCTATGCAGCTTAAAATGTACTGTTTGGCTCTTAGTCCCTTTGACCTTGAACAGTCTCAGCATTATCTTAGAACTAGCAGGGCAAATATATAAGCATGTATATCTCCTTGTGCTAGCAAAATGCAGACAGTCACTGCTTTGTGCTATACCGGGACACAGCATTTATGTCATAGATACAGCCATCTGCTGTACATCCAAAACAGGGTAAAGAGACCATGGCGGGGATGGATAGAGGAGAGTTGGTTAGCTAGTTCTCTTTATAGTCCAAGAAATCAAGACTATATATTGTACTGGCACAGGATTGTACACACAAGACATGAGCAACAAGTGTAAATCTAACACCTTCAGGCATGCTTTTGAATGTCTCTTCCCTGACATTTCACCCGCCAATTTCCTGTTTTGCTCTTGCCTTTCCCTTGCATGTATAAAACTCCTGATTCTTTATTTGCACCATTTTCTATCTCCTCTCAAAAATGTATGCATTTTTAACATTCTTTTTGGATCAATAAATCAACATTATATATTACATGCATACTAGATGTATAAATTACAAATTCTACAGATAATGTATACATTCCATATTAAAAAACTGTACACCATACAGCCGAATCTATGCAGCAGGCAAAAGTCAGATAATGAAAACAGCTGATAAAATATAGATGAATATAAAAAGAAGTGAAATAGACATCTCTAGGGATTCACTCATTCCTGTATGCACTACAGAACCACCCTGTTACCAGAGACCATCCAGATTGATAAAATTGTCATTAGTTCAGTAGTCATGAGCCACGCATCAGGAACACAACAGCACAGTACCAAGCACTCATTGATACATATGTTGACATTATGCAGTTCCATACCCCTAGAACTAGAGTAACGGGGAACAACTGCTGAAGGACACACAGCGTTATAATCACAAACAGGAGCCCTTGAATATAATGAGCACAAACACACACCTTGTGACAGTACAATATCCTCCTAGTAGATGAGGAGAGTGACTACATGACACTGCATCTCCAATGAAGACCTCTGAATTTACTTGAAATCATCCCCCCAAAATGACCAAATGTAGAGCCTACCTCGAGAAGAAAGGAACTGGGCAGCTGAAACTACTTTGATTGTGATGACACTAGATGCAGGACTGCTGGGAACCACCATGGGCCCCTGAACAAAGATTCCATATGCCCCCCACCAAATATCATAACAAAATGAACAAATCAATGGCTTGCTGTTATCATGAATGGTCCGCCGTGACCTCCCCACCACAGTTGAGACAGTAATGGAACTCGACGCTCCACGCAGGTCTTCTTGTCAAGCTTTCGATTATTTCAGTCCACTCAGCCTAGAGGAGGTTGACAAATTACTCTCAGCTGTGCGTCCAACCACTTGTAGCCTTGATCTGTGCCCATCATGGTTAATTAAAGCGGGTCGTGATGGTCCACGAGGTACACTATGGCAGATCATCAGTAAGTCCCTTGTTGAGGGACTGTTCCCTAGCTCACTAAAGGAAGCAGTGTTCCGCCCTCTCCTGAAAAAACCATCTTTGGACCTGGCTGAATTTTGGACCCGGTGTCCAACCTGCCCTATCTGGGCAAATTGATTAAGAGGGCAGTGGCAACTCAGCTGCAGAGTTCTTGGATGACACCTCCACACTAGATCCTTTCCAGTCCGGTTTCTGACCAGGCCATGGGACAGAGACGGTCCTGGTCGCCCTCACAGATGATCTTCGGAGGCACCTGTATCAAGGCGGTAAGGCAGTGTTGTTGTTAGATCTGTCGGTGGCGTTCGACATGGCCAACCATCAACTACCGACCCACTGCCTCGCCTACACTGGGATTTGGGGGTTTGCCTTGCAGTGGCTCTCCTCGTTCCTTCAGGGCTGGGGACAAAGGGTGGCACTGGGGGAACAGCTGTCCCGAAGGCACCCGCTTGTTTGCGGAGTGCCACAAGGGGCAGTACTCTGCCTGATGTTATTTAACATCTACATGTGCCCCATTGCCCAGATTGCCCAAAGGTATGGGTTGGGTTGTCACCTGTGTGCAGATGACACCCAGCTCTATCTGTTGTTGGATGGCCAGTCAGAGTCTAGTCTGGGAGATCTGGACCTGGCGTTGAAAGCCGTGGCTGATTGGCTTAGACTGAGTCGATTGAAATTGAATCCAATGAAGACGGAGGTCCTGTGTCTGAGTCGGAGTGGGCCAAGGTTAAGGATCCCTCTCCTGACCTTCGATGGGGCACCATTGGTGCCAGTGCTGGAGGTTAGGAGTTTGGGAGTGCTTCTGGATGCCTCCTTAACAATGGAGGTCCAGGTAGCAGCCACCGCAAAGTCTGCCTTTTACCACCTGTGGCTGATTAAGCAGTTGGTTCCCTTCCTTGAACGCAATGACCTGGCAACAGTGATCCATGCAATGGTCACCTCGAGACTGGATTACTGCAATGCTCTCTACATGGGGCTGCCCTTGTCCCAAATCCGGAAGCTGCAGCTGGTGCAGAATGCAGTGGCAAGGCTGTTGTTTTGTTTCTCTATGTGGGAGCACATCCAGCCTGCCCTAAAAGCACTGCACTGGCTGCCTATAGCATATCGGATTCGGTTCAAGGTGCTGGTTCTTACCTTTAAAGTCCTATATGGTCAGAGACCTACTTACCTAAGGGACCACCTTTCCCCACATATCCCCCAGAGAGCACTAAGATCGGGGTCCCAACATCGTTTGGCCCTTCCAGGTCCTAAAGAAGCCAGGCTAGCTGTGATGAGGGCCAGGGCCTTTTCTGTGGTAGCCCCGTACTGGTGGAATGAGCTCCCGGAGGACATCAGGGCCCTGCAGGACCTTTTACAGTTCCACAGGGCTTGTAAAATGGAGCTCTTCCACCAGGCTTTCGATTAGGGTGCCATCGCTGATGCCATGGCCGTGGCCCCAATACCAGTATTAGTACCAACATCAGTGTTATATCAACATCTAATAGCCTGGCAAAGACCTGGACAATGGTGGTTGTTGTCATCTGGATGCCGGAAGAACGTTGCCATTGTTTATTACCTGTACTACTAGCACTTTGAAATTATGACGGTTTTAACTGTGTTATCTTTTTAAATACTGTGTGTTTTATTGTATTACAAATATGTTGTAAGCCGCCCTGAGCCCGCCTGGCAGGAAGGGTGGGATAAAAATCAAAGGAAATAAATAAAATAAATAAAAATGAATGAAATAATTGGTCTGTCTGTCCATGACTGTTCGCTTATTTATTTTATTTATATCCCACCTTTCTCCCTAATAGGGACCCAAAGTAGCT